ACTTTGTGGAGACCAAATGTACTCCACAATGTGATACAAACCTGTTATTTTGACTCTGTGGGGACCATTTTTCAGGTCCTCACAAAAATCTGGGAATGCAATCAAAAAATGCCAAAAAGTATCATATTTAGTTTGCTTACTTACGGTTAAGCTTACGGCTGGGTAGGGGTTATGGTTGTTATTGGGATTAGGGTCATGCCCACAGAAATGAATGGAGAGTCCTGATAAATATATATATATATATATATATATATATATATATATATATATATATATATATATATATATATATATATATATATATATACACCTAATCTATGTGTGTGTAAGTCTAACATTTCCCCATTTAACTGAGCCAAAACCATCACATTATAACATAAATACAGATGCATGTAAGTATTGCACGCTTACTGCATAAAGAAAGAATATGTAGGACATTTAAAGGGAGGTGTGTAAAGGGATGACGTTAGTGGACTTAATCAAATATTCCAATTAGCCTGAAAAAATGCATTACAGTGGTATTTGCTAGAATCAGAATTTCAAAATGTCAATTTGCTATGTAATTGGTCTTGCCAGTTAGACTCCATAACAACACTGGCAATACTGTTACAGAAATGACAGGTATATTTTAACTTTTTCGTGAAACTCTAAGCGAGAACATCAATGAAAATTGCCCATTTTACAGAAGTGGGTCATCCTATGTGCATGTCCTGCTGGTGTCATTTCAGTCCCATGTCCTGCTGGTGTCATTTCAGTCCCAGGTGAAGGCCAGCCACAGGAAATGCAGTTTGGGCTGTCAAAAGAAAATTTTCAGTCTCAGGATCAATGCTAGCCTGTGGGCAGTGGAGAGAAACCAAGTTTTTAACTTTTATTTTTCTTTGCTTTGTTTTTCTTGCTTAAATATGCGTGGTACATGTTATGTGTGAAATGAAAAAAGAAAATCGAATCAGAAGAAATACGGTGAAAGGTTGTCAGAGTGGAACATGCGTATTATTTTGGTCTCACTTGGTACAGGTGAACAGAGGCTTGCTTTTATCGTTCAAAATAGTCTTGCCCAGTTCAAACAACTTCAAAGCATATCGGTGCAATGTTCTGTTTACCGTTTTTTTTTCTCACAGAGCCATATTTTCTCTTCTGTCTAATGCATTTCCATTTCATACTGTCTTTCTGCACAAGAGCTCTTTCTCTTTCTTTGGTCATTTCAGTGCCATTAAAGTTAATGGATCTAAAATGGATTAAAGCCAACCCCTTCAATATGCATCACATACTATACCCAGATCAAAACACTCATTGCAGAAATCTATAAGACATGGCATGACATGTAATTATAGTGATTTTGTCCTTTTAAAGTGGTGATTGTTTATTTGTTTCACATCTTTTTAAAAAAGCAACACGTACGTATATGAAGTTTACTGTTGGTGAATAATCAACCAATTCAAAACTATATACACAACACGCGCGCGCGACGCTCCGCACGCGCAATATGATATTAATATTTTAATTATATAATAATGAATTCTGAATTGGCAATAATAAGATCAATGCCGTTTAAGCGAGTTGCACATCGAGTAGATGTTTTACGGTAACTGGATTATTAATCGTTAGGAAACCAGTAGAAAACTGATTCGGCGACTGCCAAGTCATTCTGCTTAAGATGCATTTAATTGGAATAAATCGTATAAAATGCATAGAATAAATAGCTGTAAAATAATTTCAGTTTACATTCCGTGCTTTTATCCCTATAAAAAAAATTACTTGCAGCTCACGTTCAGAGTCAGCAAAGCAATCACAACAACACTAGGGGTCACTCTTGTGGCTTTTAAAGTTTATTTTGCTCATGAAATGGACTTCAAAATGTCTGAATCCAACAACTGAAGAGATACCGTGTTAAATCTAATGTCGATGAACTTTTATATACTTGTTTCTAGTCCTTAGTATTCGATTAAATGAATCTGATTAAATGAATCTGCCATGATTCTGTACCAAACTAATTCACAATTATCAGGAGGTTTTTTTTTTTGCAAATGCTGATTGGGGTGATCAAAGGCACATCACACTCCTGTGATGCATTTTAAGGTCACCGGACATGAATTAAATACTCTAGTTTCTCTTGCCTAAACCTTCAGTATATCTATGACTTAATCACAAATTCATCAGCGGAAGTGGATGAACAACACCTCATCACACAGTATACTCAGGTCATAAAATGATGGTCATGCTGGAATTTATAAAGGAAAATTAAAGTCACAAAATTAGTTTTATTTGTTTTTCTCAGTTCACAATGTCATTAATTCCAAGTTTCATTTCAATTAAGTATTTCTGTTGTGAAAATATTAAATATAATCATACTTATAATAATAACTTACGTATATGATAAATATACCTGCCTGTGAAAGTGTTGCATGTATACTGCTCTCGTAAAAATTCTTATTATTTAATTTTAATCTGCAGTTCTACTACTTTGGCAGCTATCCCATGTGCAGTATGAGGTACTAAATAGCTGATCATCTGAACCAAACCTCACCGAATGAGAAAAGGTCTGGGAACCATCTTACTAGAATGGGCCAAATGTATTTCATAAAATATCCAAATAATTCAAGTAATTCTAATCAAGACACATTGTGCTATAACCACTGACTGGAAAAAAAAAATAAGTTTTTGGTGAGGAGAAGATGGCTGCAATCCTGGTTCTGCTGGCAGAAGACAACACTGAGCAGCAAGTCACTTCCCAGCTTAAGATTGACAAGATGGCAGTACAGAAGAGCAAGGTGAAGCAGGAGACACTGGGAACGACCAGCAACCAGTCAGGAAGAGTGTGGCCTGAGCTGACTGCCAACTCGTCTGACAGTGCCTGATGAAGGATGACATCAAGCGACTTTCAGAAAGTGGTGTGAAGTGCACAGCTAGGATGATTCAAAAATAGATCCTAGAAGCAAGCCTGAAGTCCTACAAAGCAAAGCAGGAGTCCTTCATCGATACGTATCTGTTTAGAGAGGGCGGGGTAAGGTCATCTTTTCTGATGAGTCCAGTTTTCAGCTCCACTCAACACCTGGCTGTCCAATGGTTAGATCGAGACCAGGAGAGGTGTACAAACCCCAGTGTCTCATTCCCACTGTGAAATTCGGCAGAGGGTCGCTGATCATCTGGCGGTGCTTCGGCAAGGCTGGAATTGGGCAGGTTTGTGTCTGTGAAGGACACATGAGTTCGAGCAATGTATTAGGCTGCTTCCATCTGCCCAAGCCATGTTCCTCAACTCTGATGACTGGGTTTTTCAGCAGGACAATGTATCATAGAACCAGATCAATCAAGGTGTGGATGGAGGACCACCAGATCAAGACCCTTACATAGCCAGCCCAATCTCCAGACCTTAAACCCCATCGAAAACCTCTGCAATACTATAATGCAGAAGATGGATGGTCACAAGCCATCAAAGCTAGGAGTGGGATACAGTTGGAGATCATCCCAAGATGCATCAAAGACGAGATAAAGAACTGGTCTTGTTCCACCACATACTGGTTGTTGAACCCTTCCAAAGTAAAAATATTATTGTTGTATTACTTAAAATGGCTATAAATTTGTTCAGTTTGCATTATTCTATGTATAACAACATGGTATTTTTTGGTATTTTCACTGGTTGTCATTTTCTGCAATTAAATGTTCTATAAAACACAGACACATATCCATAAATAGCAAAACCAATGACACTAACAATATTGATGTGCTCTCTTAATTTTTCCCGAGCTGTATATATGCAATCCTGTCACAGGCAGGTATAATACTACTTGACATTTAAAGAAGGCAACTCTTGGATCTGAATGTTTTTGTGCTTCTCTGTTTCAATTTGTCATGAACTGGAGATTTGCTCTGAAACAAGTAATTAAGTCCAGTACCTTGAATTTCATTAAATATGGTCACGCATTATGCTCCGCAGTTGCTACACTAAATCCAATACAAGACAATGTTACCTTCTCCTTTTCAACCTGAGTCTATGGCTTTTTCATCAATTCAGTTTCAGACATGCTTGATTTCCTTCACTAATCATGGCAATACAGCAGTATATTAGGTGAGTGTGGCAGTCGTAATACACATATGTCTGATTCTTTTATACAAGAAATATTCATTAACAATTTGACCAAAGCTTCCTTTGAAGGATGGTGCTAAGGTAGGAAGTGTGTGTGTGGGTGGGTGTGTGGGTGTATTTAAGTAAACAAAGTAATACTCCTTTGAGGCAACTATTACAGTACATACTAACATAACTACATAGATAAAGGGGAGAAGTTGTTTCACAGTTTAACATAAAAATAATTTAATGCAAAATATTTATTGTATTGCAGTTTATATATATATATATATATATATATATATATATATATATATATATATATATATATATATATATATATATGACACACACACACACACACACATCTCTACGTTATTAGTGTGCATATAAGTGTGTGCCACACACACACACAGACCTGAACCCATATCTTTGTGAGGACCATCCATTGATTTCTATGGGCAAAACCCTTATCCCAACAATGTCAACCTTAACCCCTACCTATCCCACCCTCAACCTTAACCATAAGTAACCAAATACAATTTTTGTGCAGTCACACATTTTTATTAAATTGAATTTCCCCTTGTGGGGACCGAAAATTTTTTCCCCACAACGTCAAAATAGCAGGTTTTTATCACGTTGTAGGAACATTTGGAATGTCAACCTGGGTCTCTCTCTCTCTCTCTCTCTCTCTCTCTCTCACACACACACACACACACACACACGCACACACACACGTCACACTTTTGACGTAGTTTGACAGTTCATCTAATTGCGTGTTTTGGACACACACATAATATTAATGAATAAAAAAGTTCACTTATTCAGACAAGTGGAAATGACAACTAACATTAAAGTGCGATCAGTACATAACAATAGTAATATCAGCAACAATAAGAGTCTGAGACACTTCTAATTATCAGAGAGAGAAGTTTGAAGCCCAAGTTAGGTCTGCAGCAGCAGGTTGCCCCGCCCACTGGCCGGTCTGTCCCTCGGGTGTGGCCTCCGATTGGCTAAGGTGGTTGCGGGTCTTGAGACTGAGAAGCAGCCTCTGAGCGAAGGCTCGCTGTTATGATGCAGTTTGCGCTGAAGGTGCGAGGTCTACATACGCGCCGGAGTTCGCTGCATTTAAGACCATCTCATCCAGATACTGGATATTTAAATCTGATTTGATTTTTGTCTTTTTATATATATATATATATATACACACAGTATCTGTCAAAGGTTTACACGTAAATAATGCGTACGTTATATTTGGCAACCCGTTTGGATTGGATTTTGTACAAACTGCCCTGGAACGCATGAAGAGACGCTCGTTTTGTTTTTCTTTTATGATGCGGCTCGAACAGGAAGAATTTTACAGAGCTCTGAAGATCCAGAGAGATCCCCCCTGTAATAAGGAAACTAGGCTACTGGATAATCTTGGACTACACTGTAAGCTTTAAAATGCAATGACAGCGTCTTGCTTCGTTTTACATTCCATATGCTGGTAAATTGATGTATTAAATCGCGGACTTTCTCCGATGTGGATTATCTTTAACAATTTCCTGGATGTGAAATTCTGGAAGACTGTAGTTTTAAAAGAAAGTGATTTCTAAGAGCGGTATTAACTGGAGGAAAAATAATAGTCACTTAAAAGAATTAATTTGATATGCCCTTGTTTTTTTCTGAAACTATAAATACAAGGATCGCGCTGGTATTTACACGTAACGAACTGTTTCTATTGGGTTGTTCTTTACTAGGCGCGCTAATTTATACTTTAATACATTTCAGCTTTAGCTTGTGGCTAAACAGCTTATCGATGGCAAGAACAGCCTCCTGCAAATCGCTGTGTGAATTCCGTCAGTCCATGAACATTTTAAATTGCTTTAAACATTGCACTCCCGAAAACGATGTAGAAGTTAACTAGATAAAAGCAATTTTTGTGTGCAGTAATTGTATCATATTAGTGAGTCGACCATCTATAATTTGATAAAACTGATTTGCAAGGCAGGATAGGCACTCCGGAGGCAAGATGCGCCATTACATTCGCCGGATAACTTTATAGTAACGAGAATGACTGGCTAATTTTCGCCGTGACTGTGAGAAGTGCCGATATGCTGATATTTCTGTTATAGAGCATAAAAGGTAGACAAAAATCAACAAGTATACCAGCCAAGGAAATGGATTTTATAAAACTTCTAGTACTTTTTCTGTGCTATACTTTGTCGGATTCAGTAATTAATTTGAAATATTCTGTGGACGAAGACCAGAAAGCAGGGACGGTGATTGCAAACGTTGCGAAGGACGCAAAAGATGCAGGATTTCTGGTTGATCCCCGACAGCCCTCTTTGCGGGTTATATCTAATACTGCGCCACAGTTGGTGGACATTAACCCTGCCGGACTTCTTATCAACAAGCAAAAGATTGACCGAGACGTTTTTTGCCGACAGGTACCTAAATGTTTTATCTCGCTAGAGGTCATGTCCAGCTCTATGGAAATATGTGTAATTAAAGTCGAAATTAAGGACCTAAATGACAATGCGCCGGTCTTCTCCAGGGATCACATAGACCTGAATATCTCAGAGACCGCCTCTCCAGGCACCAGGATTCCCCTAGAGGGGGCAAGTGATCCGGACGCAGGAAGCTTTGGTGTCCAGACGTACGAAATCACCCCCAAAGATATGTTTGGGTTGGACATTAAGACAAGGGGGGATGGATCTCGGTTTGCCGAGTTAGTGCTGGAGAAAAATCTGGACAGAGAAACGCAGTCTCATTACAGTTACGTGATAACTGCTTTGGATGGAGGGGACCCCCCGAAATTCGATACTGTTTCACTTAATATTAAAGTGATCGATTCAAATGACAATAACCCAATTTTTGACCAGTCTGTGTATTCAGTTAAAGTGATGGAGAATTCCCCTAATAACACTATAGTCATTGACCTGAATGCGACCGATCCAGATGAAGGCACCAACGGCGAGGTGGTGTATTCGTTTAACAGTTACGTGTCCGATAAAACACGGGAGTTGTTCAAAATTGATCCCTTTACTGGTGTCATTACAGTCAGTGGGCTTTTGGACTATGAGTCCGTGAACACGTATGAGATTGATGTCCAAGGCAAGGATTTAGGTCCAAATTCTATCCCTGCTCACTGCAAAGTGATCGTAAATGTCATGGATGCGAATGATAACGTGCCGGTGATTAAAATGCTGTCGGCGAACAGCGAGATGGTGGAAGTGAGCGAAGACGCGCAGCTGGGCTACGTGATCGCTTTGGTCCGGGTTTCGGACCGAGACTCGGGGGCTAATGGACGGGTGCAGCTGCGGCTGCAGGGCAATGTGCCGTTCAGGCTGCAGGAGTATGAGAGCTTCTCCACTATACTTGTTGATGGGAGGCTGGACAGAGAGCAGAGAGACACGTATAACTTAACGATCCAAGCGCTGGACGGCGGCATGCCGCCTCTCAAAGCAACGAAATCACTGACGGTGAGAGTGACGGATGAAAACGATAACCATCCTCACTTTTCTAAGCCACATTATCAAGAAATGATCCTAGAAAACAATACCCCCGGGGCTTACCTGCTCTCCGTGTCCGCCAGTGACCCGGACTTGGGGCTTAACGGCACCGTGTCCTACCACATCGTGCCGTCTCAGGTGCGGGACATGCCCGTCTTCACCTATGTCTCCATAAATCCCACTTCTGGCGACATCTATGCGCTCAGATCATTCAACCACGAACATACCAGGACTTTCGAATTCAAAGTTTTGGCCAAAGATGGTGGGAACCCACCTTTAAGCAGTAATGCCACTGTGCGCATCGTGATCTTAGACGTTAACGACAATACCCCCGTTATGACCACCCCACCCCTGATTAACGGCTCGGCAGAGGTGTCCATCCCCAGAAATGCCGGTGTTGGGTACCTGGTGACCCAAGTTAAAGCCGACGATTACGACGAAGGGGAAAACGGAAGACTAACGTACTCTATTTCAGAGGGAGATCGGGCTTTCTTTGAGATCGACCAGGTGAATGGGGAAATCCGCACGACCAGGACGTTTGGCGAAAACGCCAAGAGCAGCTACGAGATCACGGTGGTGGCTCACGACCACGGCAAGACGTCGCTGACGGCCTCCGCTTTCATTGTGATATACCTCTCACCCGACATGGACCAACAGGAGTCTATAGGATACGTCAACCTGTCCCTGATCTTCATTATTGCCTTGGGCTCTATTGCCGCTATTCTTTTTGTCACTATGATTTTTGTGGCTGTGAAATGTAAACGGGACAACAAGGAGACTCGAACCTACAACTGCAGGTAAAAAGGCATTTCATGTATTTAATTATATTTATATTAAAGAACAAAGGGAAAGCACGTAGATATAATGGTAGATGTATTATTATTATTTATTATTATTATTATTATTATTATTATTATTATTATTATTATTATTATTATTATTATTATTATTATAGTAGCAATAGTAGTATGCACTCCAGAATGATTATTTAGAAACGTAATAAAGTTTTGCAAACTCTTGTGTTAAGCTTACAGATTTTGCTTGAACTTTTCCTCTTGCTTGCTTCTTTGGTAGTTTAAGTATTTAAGGTAGCATTGTAATAGGAAGAAATACATCCATTGCATAATTATTAGGCCGACTGCATGTCCATCCAATTGTATAAAATGTTAAAACCATTATCATATATACAGAACAATGTGTGAGTCATGAGTTGTAATATTTTAGGACAATTATAGCTTTATTATTTGGCACATTAAACATAAAATGAATTGGTAGAGATTCAAATGGAAAGGGACTTCACTGTTCGAGAATCTGTCTAAATCTGAAGGCAGCAAACTGAAATGAACAGGAAGTATGTATTATGAATAGTTGTTTTTCTGCTTTTTCCATCCAAACCAAGGAAGCATAAATGTTAAACGTTACACCATACCCCAGGTTTACACAAACATTTTATTTGATTTTACACTTGGAAATATAAACTGTATTTCCTAATTTAACTAGAAAATGTAATAGTAACATGTTTTTGTGCTTAATCAATGGCATAACCTTTTCAGTGACATAGATATATGAACATTTTGCTGTTTTCACATCTTTTCTGCCTTGGAGTTATATTGGTTGGGTGCTTCAGACCTTCATTGGGATTCTCCACTAGATTAATTTGTCCATTACGACCTTTTTCTGTTTTATAACTGTAGTGCAATAATGGAGTCATTAAATTCACTTTAGGATTTTACCTCTTCCAGCACTGGCCACTCATCCTGCAACAGTTTTTGCATAGATTATCCCATGATTTCATATGCGATGCCATTTGACTTAACAATATAGCCTAATGGTGTAGATGAAGTTAATACAAAAAAAAGCACAAATAGAAACATTTTAATGTTTTAATAATAGGAGTGTATAAATTATAAAGATGATTTCAAGCTATCTTTCCTTGCACTGGAGAGCTTTAAATGATGTAAAAATCGATTTTAAGATATGAAGGAGAAATCATACCTGTACATAATACTGTAAGGAGGCTTTGTGGTCTGGTCTCGCTGAGGATCATGTATGTTCTCATTTTAGTACTAACCCATTCCATTTGCTAGTTGCTGTGAGCTACCTTGGGGCACTACGAGATGGATCCTGTGAGCTTAGCCATTATTTACCCGTCAGATGCTAACTTTCATTCTCCCACTGAGAAGCTCTGCCTTTGTACCACTAGCATGTGTCACTCTCTCGTACAGTATACCCCCCCCCCCCCCCCCACCAGTGTAATGTTAGGTTGGTTATAATGAAGGACTTCCTGTTCCATTTTCAACTTAGTTACTGTACAACAGGAGAGACAAAGCTAAAGTCCGGAATATGACAATGTCATATATTTCGTAAAAGCTTTTTTTTTTTAATACAACATAAAAAAGAACTCCTTCCTCTTAAAACAATAGCCTTACAGTTACATTGTACTTCAATAAACAGAAATTTAATTTTTTGTAGTGTATCACTACAAGGGCAGAAACTCTTAAGAGGGTGAGTTGTTAATGCATTTTTAACAGTGTGAATAAAGCATTAAATAGTGGTGTGTTGTGTGGGACAGTGTAAACAAGCTTAGAGAACTTACACCGAAACTCAGGTCAGGTTCACTGCTGAGTGCAGCGCATCCAATCGTATTTGAATACGGTTTTGCCTAGAAAGTGCTCAGCAGACGTTCCTACCATTAAGAATGAAAATGATTTTAATTTGTGGCAGAGAGCATCTAGATGCATTGTTCTGAATTAGCCCCACATACTGGCCAACTAAATTTGAATTTTTGCTTTACCTTCATTTATTTAATGCTAATGGACTTGCAGTAGTGAAAGAAAGAAAGGAAGGAGCAAATATTGTGGCTTGTATTTTGAATCTGCTTGCATACTGTGTGCATGTACTCCCTGTATCCGTTTGAAGCCGTGTGTGTTTTTGTGGCGTGGTATGTTTGCATTCTGAATGTTTTCTGCTGATGGTGGTGATGGCAGCATGGACAAAGGCAAATTAAATTAACCAAGCATTTCACTTGTGCGTGTAAGTGACATAGCCATGGTTCCCCTGTTCCCCCTCGTGAACGAGGGCCTTGATGAGAAGCGTGGCGGCCTTGACTGTGTGGACACCAGTGCACTGCTTTATTGAGTCTGTTCAGTTTCTTCTACCTGCGCAGGGTGGCAGAATATTCTTATGGAAACCAGAAGAAGTCTAACAAGAAGAAGAAACTCAGCAAGAATGACATTCGGCTGGTGCCCCGTGACGTGGAGGAGACGGACAAGATGAACGTGGTGAGTTGCTCTTCACTCACCTCCTCGCTCAACTACTTCGACTACCACCAGCAGAGCCTGCCTCTGGGCTGCAGGCGCTCGGAGAGCACCTTCCTCAACGTGGAGAGCCAGAACGTGCGCAATGCCGCCGCCAACCACGGTTATCACAACACCTTCACCGGACAGGGCCCACAGCAGCCTGACCTCATCATCAACGGCATACCGCTGCCAGAGGTGAGGCCCACTCTCCTGCCGGAGGGGTTCAGTGCTGGGGGAGGTGGCCTGCATCAGGGTATAATTCATCACTGCAGTTTAAGGAGAAGCAACATACATAAAGTACACTATATGGCCAAAAGTTTGGGGGCACCCTGATTTAATCAGTGAACGTCCACTGCTAACACACATGCAACAATCTTTACCAGCAGCAAGGGTGTGCAGGAGAGGTTAGTGACTTAACCCTTGGCACCATCATAGGATACCATCCAACCAATGAGTCAGTTCACCACATTTCTGACCTTCACTTGCCCTGGTCAACCTCAAGTGAAGTGACTGTGAAGGTCTGGGACAAGTTCAGTTGTGAAGGGGTCAGCCACACAAGCTCACATAAATTTACCGGGGGTGCGTTTCCTGAAACCTCCTTAAAGGTACATTGTTCATAAATTCTACTTTAAGTTGTATCTTAACGCTCCGACGTGTTTCCCGGAATGTTCTTAGTTAAGTATATCTTCCGTAAGATACTGTTTCGTAAGGTTGGTCTGAGCCTCTTAGCTGTCTCATCACTGTTGTCGGCTCATACTGCTCATTTAAAATAAGACTAACATCGTTAAGGGTACAGTCTCATAACCATACATCACTTAACTAAAAAATAACTGATTCATACGATAAAATGATTTTGTCTGATGCATGACTACAATCTTCGTTAGGTTTTGTCCTTGCACTCTGAATGCGCAGTGAATTGCCCCCAATAATGCACAGATTCATAATGAGATTATGGTGGGGGATGGTTCTGCCAATATTGGGGTGGATGCGTTCCCCCTATTTTCGACACCCCTAGAATGCATCTCTAAATGTACCAAAGTCACAGTATGTCAAAACTTAAATTCATGAGGTTAATATACTGCAGATTAATGTACGTATTTGGATAATATATTTTCCCCAAAAAGCACCCTGGAATAGTCCTTAGTAGTCAGTACTGAAGCACATAGGACATTCTCTTATGTTAAGACAATAACACAACTTTACTTTCGGCTATTGGCCGATTGCTCATCCTTATATCAATGCCATGCACACATATTGGTGCACGCAGGTGTTTTGTAGGACAAATTCAAATAAACTGGTGATACTACAATCTGCGGAGGCGGGTTTGTGCACCCAGTCAGCAAAAATCATATTTACGGATATCAATTTATTTAAGATTTATTTTTTGAGTCTTAAGACGCTAAGAGTCGTCGTTATCTGGAAACGCTCCCCTAAATACCCAACATCAGTACCCAGCCTGAACGGCAGCAAATTCAGCAATGTTCCAGTATCAGTTTTACCAGACAAGTAGAGCCTATTAAAGCAACAGTGGACTGACTTACTTTATATTAATATCCTTGGTTTTGAACAAGCTAGTGTCCACATACTTTTGTCCATATAGTGTTTATGATAAGTAATGAAGGTTTTGGATTGCTGGGTGATACATTGTTAAAACATCTACCCATGTAAAGGTTATTTCTTTCATTCAAATGAATTTACTTTGCTGATTCTTGAGACTGAAATCATGTCACAATTCCCTCTTAATTAGGGTTGATGAAGTGGTTTGAGTTTGCTGCACTTGTGCCAGACAAATTCTGGAGGGCTGACAAAATTGATTTATTTTGTTTTGCTTGGCCTGCATGTTCTTTTATTTGTCAAGCAGTCAGAAAAATATTGCGAGCTTGAACTCCTTCCAGGTGTCACTAATCTAGCCAAAAAGCTGTTCCAAATGTGACTGAAGGGACATATATTAAGAGTAATGTATGCTTAATTACCCCCATATGAATGGGAGTGCGGTGTGCATGAGGTTTCAAGCTTTTTTATGGGTAACGGCATCTATTTATGTGTTTGTTTATTCCCAGATACACCAGGAGTTCCTTTATGTTCATTTTAACCTGGATTATTTTTAAACGTTGTGCATGCATTCTATATCGGCTTATGTGTTTGGCAGGAAATGTGAGCGGCATGGTGATCAGTGCTTAGCACTGTTGCCTCACCCCTCTGGGACCCTTGTTCCGTATGTGGAGTTCGTATGCTTGTTCTCCCCGTGCTGGATACCAAATTGCCCACAGCTATGAATGGTATGTGATTGTGCCCTGCGATGAGTTGGTGCCCTGCGTTGAGTTGGTGCCCTGCGATGAGTTGGTGCCCCGGGTTGCTCCCTGCCTTGTGCCTATAGAATCTGGGATAGAAATGCTCCTCAGGAATAGGGTCTGGGTCCTGCTGACCCTCATTAGGATAAGCAGTTAGACACTGGATGGACGGACATGATAGTAGTGAAACCATACCGAGCTTCTGAAATTGTTTCAGTGACTGTGCAGAAGAAAAAAAAACATGAATGACTTATCAACTGATGAGTGACCTCCTTTTACCTTCAGTCATGCATCTGTGCGGTGTGCCTGAAAGCTACTCTGATTTACTGTGATTATTGTGGATGGCTGGTTCAGGCAGCATCCTCCGAAACAACACCCAGAGAGCAGTATGGCGGATGAGGGCACAGGCTACTCTCCCTGCTTCTGGCTTGTCTGTTCCCCTTAGCCTACAAGTCACACTTTAGTCCTCCAGGTGAGCAGAGAGATGAGCTATGGGCACAGAGGCATTGCAATTACGGTGCATTGTAAAACTGATGGTGGTGGTCGGGCGTAGGGAGGCAATAAAGAGACCTTTGAAGAAAGATTAGAGGGCTTTTATATGTCTCTGTTAATGAAAAAGGAGTGGAAAACAAATAAGGTCATAAACAGTTTCTGATTATGGCAAATGCTTACAGCTTATGTGTCTTGGGCAGTTACAGGGATCTTTTAAGTGCAGGTATGGATGGGTGTTGGGTAGCACTGTTGTCTCTCACCTCCAAGGGTGGTGGGTTCGAGTCCCTCTATGTGCAGTTTGCATGTTCTCCTTCCATGCATGGGTTTCCATCCACAGTTACTGGGACATACTGTAGATTTAAGCTCAGTGGTGTCCCTACATTGTCCATAGTGTGTCTGTGTGTTAGGCCAGTAACAGTACACATACATTTGTGATTTAATGTGTTTGTACAGAATACATAAATACATTCTGTATGCTTTCTGAAATCCATTATTATTTAATATGTTTTAGAGATGTTTTTAATTTCCTCTAAAATTTCAATGAGTCACATTATGATTTTAATGCCAGTTGTTCAAAAATGAAATATCCATTTACCAGACAAATTGCCATATAATCCGTGACTGTCCATGTGATATGTAATATACTCCACATCCCAGTAAAGAGATTATATTCTCTAGAGACAGCATAAAAATTGCAGATATCCAGATAAACCATCGTAAGTGCTTGAAGGAATTAAATTAAAATCCTGCTGTGCTGTATTAGGCTTTGATTCCCATCCACCACCATTTAGAAAAGTTGTGATTTTGGATTCCCAGTAATACAAATTACAACAGCAGGGTGAAATTTAATGGATTTAACAAATCGACACAAGAAGAAGAAGAAGAAGAAGAAGAAGAAGAAGAAGAAGAAGAAGAAGAAGAAGAACAACAACAACAACAATAATTTTGCAATATAACAAACTTCTGTAATAATCAATTAAAACCATATTTCTATATAACTCAAATGAAATGGAAGGCAAATCTTTAATTTTCAGCAAAGGGGTCTCAAGCTGAAATGAAACAGTAATGCTGGAGTACTAACACTGAATAAAAAAAGAAAACTGTTCCTGAGACACAAGGGAGACTAATTCAAGGACTACAGTTAATTTTTATCCCACTTCAAGCATACTTGATTTAATTCCTGGAGTGTGAGCCACCAGAGATTTTGGTGAGAAATTCATTTTAGCAATTACTGGTTAGGGGTTGAGAATCTCAAGCTTGATGAATGCCTGACAGACACAAAACAAGTACTTCTGAGACCAAAACTAAGTGAATATCTTGTGTCTCACCTGTGTAGCTCTCAGTGCACAAATGCTATTGCTTATGAAAAATCTTAAGGAATCTATTCATAGGTCTAAAAGTTCGATTTCTCATCCTGTTCTACCTCTCTATATGTGTGCTTATTGTATAATTTTCATTCTCTAGACTGGAGAAAGATCTAAAGCAGTTTAGGATCTTTTTTAGGAATCTCAGTAATGTGAGATAAATGCGATATTAATAAAATAGTCCCTATCATACTTAAGTATATAGTGGTTGCATTTCGTTCAGTTTGATTGCAACTCATACTTTTTTGCACAGATGTTTCCATATTTTGCTCTGCTCGCCGTGTCAATGCCCCAGTCCACACAATTATCTAAAACCAGATACTCAAAACTTTTGTGGAAAGTATTTGAGTACTTTAAATGTTTTTGTTAAAATGATAAAAAATTTATCATTGACTACTTAATTTTTAAAATTATACTAAACTTAAAAAATACTGAGGCGAAGCTGACTCTAAAACTGAGATATTACTGAAGGGCCTGAATATCTGTATCGGGCATGTTACATTAGGGCTGTACCTAAGATCTGCAGGGTGCTAGATCTCCAGAAGCAGGGTTGGGCAGCCCTGCTTTAAACAATTAAACAATTCACTTCCAATGATAACAGTATATTATCCTTAGTGTTTGAAACATCACCTTATTTTCACACAGAACATGTTTCACTGTCTAATAGGAAGAGAAGTAAAGAATGATCCTTTTTGGATAATGCTCACATTTGACTTTAGTAAATTTGCAAACTTGAGAAACTTGAGAATATAGCCCCCAGAGAAAACAGGAATAAAAATGTATATACTTTAACCAAAAATATTGAAAAACACATTCAACTGAAAACACTACAATCACAATAAAAAATGAAAGAAAAAAATACTAAAAAACACAAGTCCAAAAAGAAAAATTAGACTTTTGGTATCAATATTCAACATTTTAAAACTTGAGACAACTTAGGCAGATGAGACATGTTACGCAAGTAAAAAATCAAACTTTAACCGAAAGGGACACATGGGCACACGATTACCCTAAAGGCCTTATTCCTTCACTAACAGTTCGTTTTGGA